TGTGAGCTTGTTTGGGCGTTCTCAGGCCGAGAGTGGGCGATGCGTTGGGTTTCGATGCGCACGATTTGTAGGGAGTACGCTGCCTGGCGTTTGACGCACGCGGCTGAGATTCGGGATCAGCGAACCCCCGCCTGCCTGCCTTCGCCGCTTAGCGGTCCTGCTTGTGCTTGTGCGACAAACAATCAATTAACCATGCCCGCCCCTCAAACACCCACCTGCTCCCTCTTGTTGCAATGCCATCCAACACCTTCGTCGAGGTTTGGTTGAACCAAATAATCCTAGCCGCTACTTCCCCAGATACACTCTCTGGAGCGCCGCTACTGGTCCTCGGCTCCGCCCTCCGCATTCGCGGTTGCAGCCGCGCCGCGTGAAGCGCCGCCGCTTAATGGCCGACATAGACACCGGCCTCGGCCTCGACCCCGACCAAACACTCAAATCTACTGAGCGCAAATGCATCTCCAGCTATCCCGTCTTACATTCCTCGCCTGCCCCCTCCTCGGCCAACCAATCCAAAAAGTCGAAGCCGCGGACACACTTAGTCACAGTCGGAAACTTCAACCAACATGACCAAGCAGTCGGGCAGCCCCGTCAAGTGCATCTCAGATACGTACGACAAGGGCGTTAAACACTTGGAGCTAAGCGATGCTGAGTGTGAGCTGGACACAGTCGGGCGACAGTGCCGGACGCTGGATGAGTTTGATCACTCCTAGGGCGTAATACCGCTTGAGGTCCAGGTGAGCATTGTTTCAGTATAGGTGAACAATCGCTGATTACCTCCAGCCAGCGATCCAGGAATACCTCCTCAACGAGCGACCCACAATCCGTGGCTTTCACTTCGTCGACACACCCAACCCGCGCCCGCTCTTCGAAGTCTAGCGCGAACTAGTCGATGTCAAGGACCCCCGGAAGATATCGCTCAAATATAAGAGCGCGAAGTTTACTGAGCCGAACTGGAATAATAGAGTCTACGCGCAGGTTCTAAACATTACCCTACGCGACCATGAGACCATCACATGGCAGGCTATGTTAGCCCCCCTTCCCCGACCCCGTCCATCATACTGACAGTACCTAGCACCCTCGCGCGTATCTACCCCAAAGATCTCATTCCGCGCGACTACCTCGGCACCCTCGTCGAAGTCAAAATAGTTAATTACGCCGTCCTCCTCGATCCCAGCTATTATCTTTCCCTCCGCCTCGACGCCCTCCTCCACACCGAAGTCCGCCGCCATCCTGCCACCGCATCCCGTACAATCAACGACACCGCCCACGACACGTTACGCCGCAAACCCGTCGCGATAAGCATTAAGACCGAGATGACTGCCGCTAATAAACATGAAGAAAAGGGCCAGCCGGCCGTGTAGGCGGCTAAGTACCTGGAGCGACTGGAGCGCCTATTACAGGACTTGCCGCTTAAGGCGCGGGGGGATTATGACGTCTCCATTAGCAGCAGCGATGGGTAGTGCCGGCCTCCTTTTCGGGCTTAGGCGTACGCTTTTTCTTGGGGGTGATAGGGAGAAATAGGTGTGGCGGAGGCTTTTGATCCCTTCTCGTTCTCGTTATCGTTGTCGTTGGTGGTGGCCTCGCCGTTGGTGTTGGCAGTAGTGTTGGCGTCCTTCTTCTCATTCTTGACCAGCGCCTTCCTGGCACGCTTCTTGGGGGTGGTAGGAGGAGTGGGAGCGTCCTCGCTATCAGAGTTAGCAGTATCAGCAGCGCTGTCATCCTAATGTCGCGGGGCGCTTACTAGGGACACTCCCCTTAACTACCGGATGCCTAATTCGGTAAGGCTCGATAGAAAGTTACCTTCGGGATTTCACGACTTCGCGACGCGTCTTCGCACAACACCTTAACACTTCTTCGCGGCTACCTACGCCACCTACGCCGCCATAGATCTCGACGTACACCTAGAGACCATCCACGACAAGCTCTAGGCCGCTAGAGATATCCTGAAGGCCTTCTCCCTACAACACGGATACGCGCTGAGCGACAGTAGATGGAAGATTGAAGCCCCTGCCGACCCCTAGAATACCCATAAGGTATTCGTGTTTCCAATGTCTCACCCTAATCGCGGAAAGTTGACTCCTAAGCAAAAGCTTTAGGTCGACACTCCTAGCGTTGCTAGTCGCCCAAGGCACATCCGTGCTCAGCTGTTGCATGAAGACCTCTACTGTCTGATCAGTGGCTCTGATACTACTAACTATCAACAAAGATGAAGAAGTTACACCTCGACGACCTCTCATCAATACAAAGAATAGGGAAGGAGCTTGAAGAGGATAAATATAACTGGACATCTAAGATACAGTGGGACCCTTTAGATTAGGCCTATACCTTTTTTTTTTTTTTTTTTTTTTTTTTTTTTTTTTTTTGCTAAAAAGGGAACTCTCGCCCTTTAACAGCGCTGGAGCGATGTTGTGATTATGGATTGCATCTATAACTCAAACATGGAAAAGATGCCTCTACTATAAATCGTGGGTGTTACTCCTATAAGCCGTGCCTGTACTATTGCCTTCGTCCTAACCTATATGATTAAGTTAAGTTGGGTTGAGTTGTATTCATTTATCCTGACTTATCACCCTAGGCAATATTTAGACTAGACTATTCAAATGAGATACTCCAGTAGTAAAAACTATGGTGTTTCAATCTGAGATAGTATAAGGAGAAAGAGATTAAATAAAGGAAAATATTGATATTTGGGTGAAGCCGTGTGAGATAAGATGTAAACGCGGCTTGATTATAAAACAGTAACTGATAACGAGGTTTATATACATGAATAAGTAGGTGTTCGCTTGTAGAAGGTAGTAAGGGGGCATAATGGTGATAAAACAATAAAAGAGCAAAGGTAATATAGCGAATATTCGTGCATTAATGGCCTGGTAGCCTACGACGAAGAGTTTCTCTACTATAGTTAGAGATCTTTAAGTATGTGAGCCCGAATATGTGTCCTAAGCTGGGTATAATCCTTAAAGGTACAGAATGGACAGACTAGAAACTTTAGGGTGAAGCTGAGTGCGTCAAGTAAAGCTTTCCGTCGATTAGTGGGCCGTTTAGTCCTATTAAGGATATGTTCTGCGACTTCGCTAAGTATCCGGAGTATTCTCTCTTGAATCTGTGCTGAGCCGATGTCTAAGGTGGTATAAAGACATTCTTAAAAGAGCGGGAAAGGGTCCTCGCTACTAGTAAGTTTAATTCTAGAGGCCATCATTACAATGTTATGCTGAAACCTTATAAGGTCGTTGAACTGCTAGCCACAGATTATACTTAGACCATCGAGGCTAAGAACACAATATAAGTGTAATTGCGGAAGTAAGACCGTGGTCATATCCGGTAAATAGAGGGCAATTCCGTGCTCGAGTTTTTCGAAGATCTGTTGAAAGCGATACCTGGGAGCTGTTGTATCCCAAAGTTGGTAGTTTCTTTTGGTTGGAGGATATATGAGCTAAAGCTTCGAACCACCAAAGACTGTGTTAACTTGGGTAAGATCATCTATTTAGAGTTCCTAAATTTAGTGAGCAGATGCTAGACAATGGCTACTATAGCAGGATGCTTACCCTAGTGTAAATCCACGAAACCGAGATCGGGTGTCATGTTTACTAAGAAAGTTTGCTTATTTTGAACGTCGAACCTTGAGCGAATTTTATTCTTATAAGCCGGAGCATCCGGTATCTCCACATTTATAACCATCCTCCCGTAGGGGTCTGGTCCGTTCTCGATATTGGCTAGGACGTTAGAAACAGTATCGAAAACTCCTTCATCCTCAAAAGAATATATTTAGATACCCTTAAAGACAATTATTAGTATACGGAAACTCTATTAGAATATAGAGATATTAATGCCTTTTCTCGGCGACCTAACAAACTCCTTATAAACTTCTGTTTAATAAGATGATAGGATGCACCGATATCCCAATGTTCCCTCGCATCTAGAAGCTCTAGAAGATGTTTAAAAGCTTCCTTCACCTCTTCCGTCACGGATGTGTAGTACTGTACGTGTACGGTACGAAGGCTTCGGAGGATTGGCAGAGACTCTATATCGATACCACGACTATAGAGGAAGTCTTCCAAATGAAAGTGTCGTTTCCCGGCCTCTACAAAGCCTTCAGGATCCTGCGACACGGTAGGAGATGGTTAAGGATCTACGGGAGCCTCAGAGGCTGTTCTAACAGAGATCCGGTCCGTTGAAGTTAACTTGCAGTAATGACTGAACCTATCAGAGGCTTTCCAGATCTCTTTACATTCTGGACAAACTTCATGATGGATTTCCGAATGTTTCCTCTGATTGCTATTCCTGGTGAAACGCTTTTTGCAGCCGCGGTGAGTACATCGAAACGTTCCTTCGTTAATTTCTTCCCTTTCATAGGTATCAAGCAATACTGTAACTATATTGTCGGAATTGTAGGATGGGTGTAGGTTGAGCGCAAGTTGACGCAAGTTGAATGCAGGTCGAGTGCAGGTTGAGCGTAGGTTATAAGCGCAGGTTGCCACGACGACGAACTGCCGATGACGTGACAAAATTACTATCGCGTGACACCACTAGGTATATTTAGTCTAGATTACCTAGGTACTCGTCGCAGGCAGCCGTGCGAGTAAGCGACCCAATAGGAATCAATAAAACCTGACGCGCTATATACCGCATTTTCTCTGCGTTCGCTCGACTCTCTATCGTCGAGCTTAGCTTATCAGCCTTAGGGCGCAGCACACACCGGCAGTCCAGCAGGGCAGCAAGCCCGCGCCATTATGCCATACCTAGGCGTACATCTACATATCACTTACCAGTCGGGGTTTCATGGTCATCATACGGAGGTAGCACTGATTATGAGGATGACAGGCTGGAAAAGCGCCGCACAGGCGACTCTAGAGTTCGCTGAATTCATTTCTCTCCGGATAGCATCGAGACGTGCAGAGAATTAGCTAGATGGTGGCTTATGCGACATTGCAGGGAGTCTCAGCCCGTCTCCACTCCTCATCTCGTCTCTCAGGCCACTCGCACTGGCTTCGAGCATAGATGCAGCATAAATGATCAAAGACGTCCTCGGCGCGGAACTTTTCTTTCTTATTGTGTCACCTCAGGACGCGCACAACCCGGCGTCAAGTCGGCATGAAAAAGTCGTCCTGACTTCGGCGAAACCTGTATCTCCGCATTTACAAGTGGAAACCCGATACCAAAACGGATAGTCCTAGAGCTTCTCGAGGTTAATGCAATATGATGCGGCGTTTCGAGGCGGCTGCGGTGAAAGCTTTATAACGGCTTTAACGATGGCTCTTAACGCCGTACGAAATCTAGGTTCCAACTTCGATAAGCAGTCAATCCAGCCGCGAGTTCAACAAGCTATGGCTTTTGCCCTACACAGTTCGTCCGGGCGGTATTTTGGCGGTAGCATGCAGCACCAGCTCCCTGCATCCAACAGACTCGATTCTGACGGCGAAGGCACTCCAACATGGTCATGCCCTGGCCACCCACATGATTCCAGTATTCGACTCCAAGGAAAGGGCAGCTTGCTACCGCTCCCAGTTAAATATGTATAGCTTTGTCATAATTGTCTCAGCGAAAGCTGTGCCTAAAGTTGTATTACAACGGCACAATCGCCACCCACATTAAAAGACGGCAGCGAGCCGCAAAATATGAAACGAGGAACGGGAATGGTACAATAAGGATATTACTAGGGGGATATTACTGCATCTTATCTTTCAGTGGCGGTGATGGCACGCTGTTTTTCGCGGAGGAGGGGGTAGACTTAAGCTATATTTCACATTCCGTATAGAGTTCAGATTTAGTTTATATACTATAGTATGCGAGGCTAGTTCTATTCTTTCGGGAGTTAGGTATGCAGCTCGTTTAACTAGTTTGTCGGCGTCCTCGGCAGCGAGTCTTTTAATATGGGTTTAGTGGAGTATTTATGTGCTTTCATAAAAAATGTAGCAGGGGGTAGCATGGTGTTAAAAGAACGAAAAGGTAAAGTGAATATAGAAAATAATAGGCAAAGAAAGATGGACTAATAGTCCAACATGGCCCCATCCGGATTAGGTTGATACAGCAATCTGAATTCCCTAAACGGCCTCTTGTAACAGTTCTTAGATTAACAGACGGTAGATATACGCGCCAAATAATATTTCATTTAACGTACTTGGAATTCTCCATCATATTTATAGAACATTGTACTTAGGGTGCGCCATGAAGAAAATACAGAAAAGCTTAATACTGCGACAGTTTTATTTCCAACTGCTAATCAACTTTCCTACGTTCCGCGGAGTACAAGTTTGGAGTTTGCTAATTTACACTACCATGCGATGATGGCGATCATGTACGCTCCCTATCCTCCCAGTAAGAGCACTTGTTCCGCTGACCGCAGGATATACAGTGGATATATGTAAGGTTTGTGGGCAAAACCATCTCTACATCTTGTCCACACCCATCAGGGCATCCATATACTCCATTCTTTTTTGTCTCCACTGAGCGCGATTCGTAGAGGGCTCGCGCTAAATCCTTGCCGAATGGACCGACTTCGTCCATCGTATTACGGTAACTTTCATCATTAAGAAGGTCTTCGACGTGGGCTGCTGCGACTTCAACGGCAACATCTCTTAGTCCGCGATCCGTTTCTGGTGTCGTATTGTAGATAGCTTTTACAGCGGGAGGAAACGTTGGACAAGCCCAAGATACCAAAGCGTTGTTGCGAAACCGCGCTTTAGCAAGGTCCTTCATGCCACCCACAGCATATATCTCGCCCATGGCGTACGCTTGCACATGAAAGAGCATGCCTGAATCTTCCGGAACGGAATAGTCGAATCGATAGAGGAATTCAAGCAAGGCCTTGACGATTTCCGGGCTGTCTTCATTCATATGAATGACGCCCTCATTCGCTTCCTATTTTTCAGGTCGGGTTAGTGACAGACATATTATAGTTGGGCCTGTGCAAGTTCCTTAAAGACAGGAAACGGTATTCTTACCTTGAAATTCTTTCCAGGATCGCATGCATTTCTGAACACATTGCTTTGGCTACAGAGAACGAGTTTGTGGACATTGTAAATATCCCCATTGCTGCACTTTACTGCAAGGTCCGAGTATTTACCAGTGTCTAGACACCTGCCGCATCCAGTTATTAGTTGTTTCATACTCAGCCATAAAGCTCATCTGGCCAAGGAGGGGAAAGTACTGACTCGCTCATCCCCACCCTCATATGCACTGAAAAATCTTTGATAGACATGATCTTAACTGTCGTTTGCTTCTTCAAGACGCGGCTGCAGAGGATGTTGAGGAGTATTAGCTGGTTTTAAATAGAGATACTGACGACCCTGCACAAAGGGTTAGGGCATAAGTTAACGTCGCATTCAGGGTGACAAAAATTTAAATGAAAAACACACCATGCAGGAGGCAAGGCCAAAAAGGCACTGTGATCAGACGCTTGTGTAACACAAAGTAATTTCACCGCCATAATGAACTTCTTAGTACCGCTTGCTCCGCATTATTGTTTCTTTCACAGGCTTTTAAATGACTTATGTTATATTAGCCTATCCGGCTATAAAAAATTTGCCGAAGAGAAACCCTATAAACTGGTTCTACGAACTGCTAGCCTTTTAAAAATCGCCGTTGGCACCTATCTTGCCTTACATGCGGAAAGCAGCTGCATCATTCTGTGTGCTTTGTTGAATTAGGAAAAGCAATCCTTGCTTTATTCTGGACAGACTTCTGCCTTGCTTCTACGTGGCGAGAGTCGCGATGTTGCACCCCAGGAGCCTTCCCACCAAAATCAACGTTGATTGCGGGTAAAGGAGGCCTGTTTCCACGATGCATAGAGGAGTTATAGTTAACTGAGTAGAGGGTGTTGGGGGTGATAAAATCTATCGTAGAGGCGATTAGATTTACTACCTCTAGGGAATACGGCTGCTACCAAAGTAGTCCGAGAGACTTTATAACAGTATAATTAGTTCGTCTTTTACCTTCCCTTTTCTTTCACTTTCCTTGAAAAACAGCTTTTTATAGGATGAATTATTTAAAGTCAAATAGCTATACTTTAGACACGCCGAACTCATTTTTTGTTTTTTTGTTTTTTAAATGCTTTACAATTTTCATGTCTTTTATTATGCAAGGAGACACTAATTTTCCACGATGGAACGTTCATACTAGTGGCTCAGGGGCGTAGCAACGGTAGATTATACATACTTTAAGTCTATGGATTGTAATTTATAATTGAAGTTGTTGCCTATTATGAATTCCAGGCTACCTACCGATCATCCCTGTTCTTGCATTGATTTGGTATATAGGAGTGGTGATATGGCAGTTCGACTCTATCGGATAACACACCAAGTTCTTATTCCTTACGCTCAACAATCTCTTTCGGTAATACTGGGAATGACCACAGTCATCATCGATCCACACGGAGACTTGATATTGCAGGTTGAGGATGAATGCATATCAGTATCCTCGAAGGTACTCAGCCTGGTGTCGCCGGTATTTGAAGCCATGATGAAGCCCAATTTCAAGGAGGGGATCGAATTACAGACGGTAAAAAGCACTCAATCGACTATATCATTACACGAAGACGATATCGAGGCCTTAATTATCTTTTGTAAAGTTATTCATCACCGGGCCCACGAAATTCCCCAGGTACCCAGTCCGTCTTGCTTGGAGAAACTCGCCTATATATGCGACAAGTACCAGTGCACCGGCTCAATGAGAGCCTACGGAACCCTATGGCTGCAGAGAAATTTTCAAGAGATTCCTTCTGAGGATCTCAATCGGCTACTGTTATTTGCCTACGTCCTTGACCTTTCAAAATCATTCTCTGTTATATCAGCAGAGGTCCTTTCCCGCCAGAAGGGGCCGTTCGATACTCTTCCAGCTTTATCTAACCATCAGCTCGTACGTCACGATCTCCTTGGTAAGTTAGCCTACTGCATGGTGTTTAAAGCGATGAAACTAAGAGCTTTCAGAACCGTTCAATGTGGAGAAGCTGAGACTCAGTTTAACACTCCACCGAGCTATTATGCAACCGATCAGCAACTTGGTGGGAATTGACTGTGAAAAAACCATGAGTACGATAGGCCGTTATCAATGTTCTCTCAAGAAAAACGGGGTTTATCCCTACGATGACAACTTCGAGAAACAAAGTTTCCGAAACATAGCGGATAAAGTCTCCAGCATATCCGAGATATACATCGACTCTTGCACTTCTTGGAAGTGTCAATGTCAAGAGCTGAAGCGCTCAGGTCTAAGCGTGCGACTGAGACAGGAGATTCAGAGATGGAAAATGTCCAGGCAAGGGGTCTGTCTTGATTGTGTTAAGACCGCCCGCAGGTCAATTGTGGAAGGGAAATGTGGGATACTTCATCTCTAAGACAGCCACCGATACCAAAATGTAATTAAGATTCTATGGAGCTAGCGCGAGGAATTTGACGCTGCTCGTCCCTTTAGATTACTGCTACCTATAGAGGTATATATGCTGCTATCTAAAAGAACACGTTTTCTCTTTGAGATCCCTACTTCCTTGCAGCAGATAAATGTGCTGTAAGGGAGTAAGGTTGTTGTGTGACAATAAATATTAGGGAGAAACACGTGTATTATCGGAGTGATCCTGGCTGACAAATTCTCGTGTCAAAGTTACTAGTAATTCATAGCACTAATTTGATTGGATGAGGTAATAATATTCCCCTATAACGTGTAGAATTAAGCGAAGTGTTTTTCTGCGTAAGATAATTGGAAAACTCAGCCAGAATATCTAAACCATCACAGGATCGAACAGCACTACTAGGGTCTTTACTACCTCTGTATTGGAATATCTTTCTGAGAGTTTTGGGATGGAAATGAGGTTTCCGGGATAATCCAACCACTCTTACTAGCCGATGTACTTATTCTCTCGGTTAATTGGTTTGCAAGTAGGCAGACGCATTCAAACTCCGGCTCATCGGATGAGAATATAGCTCTTGTATCTCATTTATGGATGGGAAGTTAACAAGTTTTCTAAAGGAAACACTTCGTTGTCCTTTAGTAGATTAGTCACAGAGGCTGCGACATCTCTATGTATAACATCTCGTTGAATGCTGACTGCTAACTTTACTACACTTCTGTGACAACCTGCCCTTTAGGCGGCTTTGATGGACCAACGCTTGTGAAGCCATTGTAGCGCCTTCTAAACTGTACTTGTTTCCACCGCAGTTATATCCAAGTTCGTATGGCCTCTTCTCGTACTCCAATATTCAGATCTGTCGTTGCATCTCGTCTTTCCCTGGTTTAACCATGTGCCGGCTACACATGTGCACTGAGTCTTGAAGGCGTTGTTGGGTCACGGGGCTACATTTGACGTTGGTCCCCTGGCGCTCGGCACACTGGCGGAATTCTTCCAGTTTCTTACACCCGCAAGTGTATAGTCGATAGTCTTGGATACACATGCCGGCTACGAATGTTACTAATCGCTAAGCGTTTATTCAGTTTAAAAAGGGAGTACCTTGTATCGCTATTTTATAAATTGAGAAATAATGTTTTTTGATTGAATGTAGGGACGCTGTTATGATTATGTTAATAAAATAATCGATAAATAAGGCTACTTAACAGACCTTGGTACCTTGGTGGATATTGTACTAGTAAAATTGGCTTCAGCGGAGAGAATTTTTGAGGGGAGATAAGATTTATACATTTCTTCCCACCTTCCCTGAAAGCGCCACCAAAGCCAATAAGAACCATCTTGGCTGTTCTATGAGTTATGGCCAATCGCTAGTCTATAAGTTGTCATACCGCTATGTTCCAGTAGTTAGGTTCTGCATAAGCTTACCGCCAGCGACTAATGATTATCCCCGTCTCCAACACGTCGTTTTGAGGCATTTACCTATAAATAGCTTAATTTTTAAGCTAGAAGTTATTCGTGGAACATATAAGCTCTTGTAAGAGATGTTTAATATTGTAGTAGCGGTTAATAAGTGCGGGGTGGTACTAGGAGTGCGGGGTAACACCTTATCATGTCTATGGATTCCATAAATAGATACTAGGAAATCTTTCATAGCACCCAAACGAAAAAGCCACGACAGAACACCTATCTAAAAGCATCACTCCGATATAGCCAAAAGCTTTGCATTATTCCATTGATACTGGTCTGAAGCTCCTCAATGTCGAAAATTCAGCTACTCCAAGCCAGCGTCGACGCAGATGGCCCAAGCGAATTCCGTCTCCTCATCGATGATAAATTCATCAAATACCTCAACATCGATCCCGGCATCTACTCCGTCGACGACATGTGCTTTGAGCCTTCACTAGTCGCCATGCTACCGCCCCTACCGACCAGCGACTGGAACAAAGGCCACCTATCCCGTAGTGTCGAAGCTGGGGACGCAGTCTGTCTTCATGTCATCAAAGACAAAATGCCCTCGATTACAAACACCTGGCATACACGTTGCATCGACTACCTCGACCTCTCTCTTGGGCGTAAACTCCGCTCCAACGTCTATGAAACTACGTGTCCTCAGTTTGATGTTCCAGTCGTGGCCAAATTTGCGCGCTTCGCATGGGAAGTTGCGCAGTGCGATGCCGAAACGCGCGCGTATCAGTGGATCAATGGTCACGGCATTGGCCCCGTATTTCTCGCGCACTTAAGCGAGCATGGCCGTATTATCGGGTTCCTGATAGAGAAGGTTCCTGGCGCTCAGCATGCAGCGCCAGAACACCTTTCATTATGTCGACAGACATTGGCGCGCTTGCATCAGCTTTGTATTATCCATGGAGATGTTAACAAATACAATTTTCTCGTTCATAACGGTAAGGCTACATTGATCGACTTCGATCATACGCAGCGGTGCGAGGATGCAGATATGCTTGAAAACGAGCTTAAATCGCTCGAAGAGAAGCTGAATGAATCTTCTGGTAGAGGAGGCATATTGGTAGGAAGAGGTGCCATCTGAAATACACAGAACCCGAAAGCATCCTATTGAAGTCTGTGCAGAAATGGACCTTTCTCGTAGGGATTGATTTGTTCTTAGTAAAGCGCAAAGGGAGTGGATTACGTGGATTATCGACATGAATGGTCTAAATTTTATACCATTCCATACTAGATGAGTTCTTCTATTGGTACACCGGACACGAGACCTTCGCGACTGTTAGATCTTTATACAACGTGAAATCATCTGCCCAATTTGAGAGCCTTACTCTCGGTAATGTTCCGTTACCTAGGAATCATCCGACATGATAGCCGTCCTGAATATTACCGCATTCTTCCAAATGCTCTTTAAATGATGCTTCCGTAAATCTGCGCCTGAAATGTTTCGGCCTGGAGCCGTATGACCTCTGACAGCCGATACAGTAGAAACCACGTTCCAACTTCAAGGTGACTCGATTTAGCGCCGGCGCATATACGATTGCCAGGAACCGGAGCACGTTACTAGACTTGCCGTCGAAAGGTTCTTTGGTCCGTGTTCGACGTCCCCAATGGGTTGTTGATCCGGCTCCCTCTTGAGCTGAACTCGATATACACCGTTCCATAGCTTCTTGGGACCCATGAAGCTCAATTCCTGCTTGGAAAGCGGTCTCGAAGTCGACTAAGCACAGCCGCCTGTGACTCTTTTTCTCGTTTGGCGAGTATATGCCTGTAATGCTCCTCATGCGAGGCAGCGTCTTGACTGCCTGCGGAGTGATACCAAATTTTTTGATCGCATGGCTGTATCGAAGCGGAAGATAGGAACCATCTTCAGAGAGACAGAGGAAGCAGACACGCTTACAAGTAAGGAGGTAAAGATAGCCGCCGAAATCGCCGCAACGTTCGCATTGAGCTGTGCACAGCTTGTCATAGAGAGTTTCGCAAGTGATCCAGCGGCCCGTTTCAATGGCAAGGATTCCACGGAGTGCATTACTTGCGTGAGTAGTAATCGCTTTATATTGAGGAACAGAGTCCACCACCTGCATAGCCCGTCGGTTGATGCGGCGAAAGTCCGTTAGAGTGCGTAAATCAAGCTGAGAAACCATCATATGGAGGAGCTCGAGAGGCAAAGCATCTAATACACCGAGGTTTTGTTGAGGCGTATCGCGGATATGATGGCCGTTGTCGAGCGGACAGCCGATAGCCAGATTGTTGTCGTCCAGTGTGTAGTCTCTTAAGTTGAGTCGTGGATATGTGAGTCCGGTCAACTCAGCTTCCATCTCGCTGGTGAAGTAGGAGACGTGATGGCACTACTGGTTGGGAATAAATGTAGGTGGGGGCGCGGAAAAGGACGTGGCGAGTTGTGTTATGTTAGGTCACGAGAGCACAGAAGCGATCGCGAACACTAGAAATATTCTACACGTGACATGCTAGCATTTGGTCAAGCATAAACACGAAAGCTGTTGCCAATGCTATAGTAGCTATTGCAACTGAAAATAAATCCATCACACATGTGGTTCAGTTATACTTTGAGCAGCTATTTTGTCTGGCGACTGCTGTTACGGTTGCTGGGCGACTCATTGATTGACGGTTCTGCTGGCCGTCCCCGCCTTTCGGATCTTATAATCTTCCGACGGCACAGCGCGAAGTCAGATCGCTGAGAAAAGCTCAGTGAGAGCGTCCGGCGCGGAGCAGCAACACTTCGCAGCCGCACGCAACTATAGCAGCACCACTCTCAGTAGCAATAGTCCGGTGCCCGCCGTACGCGCGACAGCCGTTTTGATGTTCCTATATAGTTTACGACGCAAGCTATGTGTCGCAGCTTACTCGGGCACACCCGCTAGGCCGCTACCTGTAGTACTAACCTACCTACTCCCGCCCCTCCCCTCCATCTCCATCGTGTTTGCTTCCCTGAACACAGCCCACGAGCCGCACAATGGTACATCCCCCGGCCACTGCGCCTAAACTACCCGCCCCACTAGTCCACCCGTCTACCTTCCGCAGCGTGCGTATCTCGCCACCGCATCCCTGCCCCACTCCGCCCCGGCGCCAACCACAACGCTAACCGGAGCAGGCAGTTTGACGGGCAGCTACAGAGGTACATTACGACGCGAGGCGTCTGACGGATGGTCCGGGTCAGTGTGCTGGTACGACGAGCCCGTGGCATAAAACGAGTGAGCCAGCTCACCACCGTCGCAGCACACGCCGCAATACCAGTACTGTCAGGTTGGCCTGCCCATTAGGGAGGGAACGTGTGTTTTACTAATCTTGTGATTAGGTGCTGGAGTAGTAAGGGATCTAGAGACAGAAGGACCTAAGTGTAGTGCCGACGTCGCGATGCGGATATATGATCAAAGGCTAACCAGAGCGAGAGTAGTTGGGTGCGAATGTGCGAGATTATCCGGTGGATCGTGTAAACAATAGAATTCCAGAGGGAGAGGCGCCCGCTCGACAGTTTTTTGGAGGTTATGAAGATGGACCATCGGCGTTTTCTACAGATCGGCCCAGATAGAATGGTTTGGCAACGCCATAAGAAACAACCTATCCGGGCAGAATCGCGGTCGCTCTAATCGCTATTGGTATAACACACGCGTTTTTCGCATACTTGCTGTAACCACAGACACATGAAGCAGACAATAGAAAAAAAAAAATGGCTGAAACCTCCCCCCAAAGCCCACCGTCCACTGCTGCTACAGCCCCACCAAAAATCGCAATACATTGAACGCTATGCAACCTAGGCTCGCAGGCAAAGTGCGCCGAGGTTGTCTTTCCCTTGGTCATTTTTCTGGTTAGTTTTGCGAAACAGCTGCGCTGTGCTGGGCATGTATACAGTACCATGCGAATTGATAGGCCAAGGGCTAAGAGATACTTCTTATGTGCCGATTATACCTCTCTACTACCACCGAAACTGGTACCACGGATTGTGCCACATTATGTTGTAGTGGAAGTGTTGTAGTTCGTGCCGTGAAGTGTGAAGCGAAATGATGGCGGCAGGCGAGTGCTGAAAGGGGTATATTAATAAACGCCTAGAATGCAGTGTTGACGAAAATCGTGACCAGCGATATTGGTATCGCAATGTTAAAAGTGGTGTAGTGTCATACTGGAAGGAAATGCCGGTAGTAAGTGCTGGAAGCCATCTTATGAAGTGGGTGCCAAGTGAGGGAAGCAGAGGAATGGAGAGGCCAGCTTGCTGTTGGAACTCGAAGCCAGCTGCGAAGGACATATGGGAAGGATATCAGGTGTAGCAGTACCTCTGCTCCCTACGGAGTGCGGAAAGCCGGGTCCTCCCTCTCTATGCTTCCAGCCACCATCTTCTTTCTCTTCGCCCGCATCTCCTCTTCATATGGCCTTACTGCCTCGAACATTGGCCTCTTCCTGCCCCCGATCATATTCACTTTCCGCATATGTTCCTCCTCTCCGTCCTCAAGGTCCTTGCAGAGGTCTGCGAAGGAGATGTCGATGGTAGTGGCCTCTATAAGGGGGCGCCATTCCTGTGGGATAGTATCAAGGTCGATGGCGTCTAGAGGCACGAAACATTCAAGCGGGAGGCGAAGGGTACCAGGTAGATGCTTGCCGGTTTCGCTGCGGAAGGCCTGTGAGGAGTGTTAGTTAAAGATGTAAGTAGGGCCTATAGGAAGATGTACTTCGTCCATAACCTTTACGGGCGCTTGGAATTTCTTTTCCGTTCCAGTAGAGTCTTTCCTTGTGACAACGCCTGGACGCCATACCGTAACGACCGCCTTCTTCGATGGTTGGGACTTCTTCATGCCGCGTGCTGGCGCAGTAACCCGGCCCGGAGGCGTGTACTCGAGCTTCATTTCAACCATGGCTTCGATGTTAAACTCAGACCCAGCGATGAAATCCTTGGCGAGTCCAGATAGGTCCTTGAGCTTCTGGCTGTGGCTCACTTCAATGATGGGAGAGGACCAGATTGCGTGCTTGTTGCTGTACTGGGCGTCTGGATACCTGTTGCCTTTACGCGAGAGCTTTACAATGGTTGATAAGGCGGGTGACGAGGGCGTGTTGGTGTCGATATCAGCATCAGCGCCGTTGATATTCAGGGGGACTGCGGCGCTCCCACGGGGACGTATATCGGCGATGACGGAGGCTAACTCGAGAGATACGGCCTTTAGCCTTTCCAGCTCGGCTTCGATCCGACGCTCGAGGCTCTTGCACATTGTCTCATGGACATGAAGTGGGCCACCCACTCGAAGAACAAGCTCCTCGTAGCAGTTGCTGTAATCGCACCGGACCGTATGTAAGAACCAGTTTGCGAAGTCGTCCTCCTCCTCGATCTTGTCGAGCAGCTTATGGTATTCCTCGACTGACACGCTGTATTTTGCCCAACCCGGCGACGGATGCTTCCATACGCCCTGCCGTATATCCTTGAGGGTGCGGATGAGGCCTGGAACACCGATCTGTTGGGGCACGGCCGGATTGATCTCGGTCTGTGTCTCGGTCGCAGTCACGTCGCCTGGTGAGCTGGTTTGCGCAGGTGAGGGCGGGAGTGCCGGGCGCGGAGGTGCGCGACCGTGAGGGCGAGAAGCGGTCTTGGGCGTGCGGAATCCAGCAGCAGCAGCAGTGGGAGAGAAGGACCTCGGTGGCGTGGACAGCGCAGCCATGGTGGAGGAGGAAGCGGAGTGGTTGGACGACGGCATTTTTGGGGGTGGACATGCGGTCGCGGGCGCTTATGTACGTAGGTAGGGCGCGGTATGAAGGACCCTTGGACGGAGCGTGGTGTTAGGCGAGCGGTTGGCGGCGATCCCCCACAACAACCGGAGCTCGAGACACGACAAACGCGTCCACCACCTCGCCCGCCACTCCAGGATCTAGCCGTCGCTCGCACCTTCCCTCCCACCCCCCGTACCCACCCTCCACGCGCTTATACGCGCACACGCGCACACACAAGGCACAGACGATGATGGCTGAGTTAGAATGAGATCGAATCAAAGGATCATGACAGGCGTCAGTCTCCTTCGCGTCATACAATTCGGCGTCGGAACTCACCGACAGTGGGCCATCAACTTTTCGCACGGTCGCACAACAAACGAAACACCACCCATTGACCAGCACACGGCACTGCACGTCACTCAATTCGACCTGGATTCGACAGCCTAGTCAATTCTTATTAATATTTTGTCTGATAGCCCTTCGCCTGATAAACAGCTTCCCACCGGTCCTTCACGCTGTGGCTTAGGGCCGCCGGCGTCAGCTCCGTTACCTGCTCCCACGCCCCGGGCAGCCACGCTCGAAGCCGGGCTTTAACCCTGGTCCGACTTTCGTCTAATGTCTCCAGCTCAGGATGCAGCTCCATCAGCTTCACTTTGAGAAGGAACCAAAGGTTTTTCTGAGGGTTGAGGTCAGGGGAAAATGGCGGATGCTCGACCGGGCGAATGCCATGCTTGGCCAGCCACTGGCGGAAATGCTTAGCTGTGTGGATGGACGAATCGTCCTGCACAAAGCACATTTCTGGATCCAGCGTTGTCTTAAGGATCCTGCGAAGGACTTTGAGGTAACTCCTCGCAGAGTAACCGTGTTTTCTCGACTTGGGATCGCGGACAAATGGCCACACACTCGCTCAGACCGTACCGGAGCGAGAACCCAGCCCATCCCATGCAGCATCCTTGTTTCCCTTGCACCTGGGACTTAGTCTTGTCATGATGGAACTTTCCAACACCCAGCCGGCAAAATACTCACTCTGCTTTTTTACCAGAGCCTCTTTGAATAGAGCACTCATCACAGAAGAAAAGTTATCTCAGTATTCTTTAGGTTTCTTTCTATATTTCTTCACCATCTAGTATCTCTTTCTTGCGCTCTCTTTAGTAATAAAAGGCCTCTCTTTAGCACGCCGTTTTATTAAATTATGATCTCTTAGAACACGGTATATTGTAGATTTACTACAATTTTATAACTCTTTTATAGCTTGCTTTAGGGTTCCTGTTAATACGACGTACTATCTGTCATTGAGTACGTATATTAAGGATCTTTTTACGTCCTGGCCTTGGGTCTGGATCGATTTGTTGTGTTGTTGAGAACCGGTGAAGCGTGTTCAGCACGGTCGTCCTGGGAACATGTGTGATCCTTGAGATTTCATCTTGGCTGTGGCCCAGACCGCCGGCGGTAATGATTGAGACGCACTGGTCATGCGAGAGATTGGCGCCTGCAGGTGCTTGTCCGCTGATTCGATCTGTGAAAAAGAACTCCATGGTTGTGCTGTAAGGGGTGCGACGTACTGGGGTGTAGCAAAGTTTCTTTGTTGATGGGCCCTGTCGGTGAGTTCCGACGCCGAATTGTAGGGCTCTTCCTATTCTCACGGTCGCAACATAACTACTTAAGCGCGTGCGCGACGTACGACCTCATGCCCGCCGCCTACTAATACAGTACTACCGCTAGCTACATAGCTACCTTACTATAATTACGTCCACCCCTCTGGGCTCTTCCCCTCTTGCTGTTGTCAAATTCCGCACGCCTAAAGCCGCGAACGCTTCTCCCCGCGCCGGATATGTTGGGTCTCGTTCGCACGCTTAGGGACATAAAGTGGATGGCGTGGGAGCACCCGTTGCCGCTGGGTAAAGTACCACATCTCATTCGACGAGTGCCCCGAGCTGCTAGGTTAGGTCGAGTAGAACAGCGATTTCGCCGAGTGGTTTAACGACACGGTGCGGTACGATTAGTAGCGCCTTCGAGGAGTTTGTTGTTCGCATAGCTCCGCCGCTCGCTCTCTATGAAAGCTTAACCGTTAGCTTCGTTAAGCGGATAAATAGCAGGCTAGATGAACTGATGGCCGTATCGCCTAGGCTAACCTCCCCGCTCGCCGGCGTGGGATCCCTTGGCAACACCCGTGTCCGCCTTAACGCTGACGCTGAATCCAACACCGAGACCGTTGCCGACGAGCTTAGTCTCAATGCTAACGTGCCTACGATACCCCTCTTTCACCCTCTATATTATCCTTTACATTAGTCTTACGTAAAGACGAAAGGTCGCAAGACAGGCAGTTCTACCATTGCAAAGTCCGCTGATCCTCCATTATTGTCGAAGTGGACTATAACTAGAAGCTTCAGGGCTTGCATAAAGTCGCTGAGGGCTATATCTGCGGCACTGGCGGTAGTATTCAAGCTGCGATCGGCTTAAATCTTAATAATACGCCTCCCGACCGGGCTAAGGCACGTGTATTGATATCCGAACTCGAATTCTAAAGCGACTCGAAGCGGAACAACGTGACGCGAAGTAACGTATCATCTATACATTATATACTAATAATTAACTTACTCAACCTACAGCGTACCAACTACCGGGTTTATTTTAAAATTATTTATTCTCCGTACTCTTCTCCAAACCCGCTGGGTAATTAGCGTCGTAATTGCTAGCATTTCTTTATCTCCGGTGGGCTTTCGGGACAGTATTATTCCGCAGTAGTAGCTAGTATGATATATCACAGTTTAAATGTTCTACTGTTAAAAGTTCTTAGCGAATACTTTCCCCAGGAACTCATCCAAATTTAACTAGAATTCATGATTAAAGCTCTAACATTAAACGCTCTTCGTCACTCTCAATGTCTTCTTCTTCCACCTTCCAACTGAGATCATGACTAGAAATAACTCCGTCTACATTGGTTTCCTTGGGACATCCACCGTTGCTTTGAAAATCATTGTTCACTGTGTGTATCCGCTCAATTAATCCTTGTAGCAGTTCTCCCGCGATATTTGTAAGGCGGGATTCCTCTTCAGCACCATAGGCAAGAAGGTAGTTTTTTCTAATATCAAGCGCTTCCTGCTGCTTCTGTATTCGGAATAGCTGTGAACTGATTTCAGATTCTAGCAGCATCTTTTTCTGCTCCATTTCGTGGAGGTGGCTCTGGACTTGGGTAAGAAGATCCTGTAATTTTCGAGTGCGTACAGGATCTCGTAGCATGTCCGTGAGCTTTACTGCATACTGAAGGAGATTTATTAGCTCTCCAGTAGGTAGCGGCGTACGGTGTACTGCGGTATTGCGTAGATGCCTTAAGTGCGAAGATATGCTGTCGAATGTGCTATTATGGAAAGGGAGGTTTTCAGAATTAGAATGCCTCTTAAAAATAAAGAGCCACGCTGTCAGTTCTCCCGCTGCTGCACATGTCCACCCCTGTTCACTGAGTACCGTAGGAAGCCGCTGTCTAGCGAAATCGAAGCAAGACTCCTCAAGAATATTTTGGATTCCAGATAGGATATCATGTTGAATCTTATATGGGAACTGGCTTCGTTGTACAGAGAAAGAGATGTTGTCTTCTCCTTTGATCGGTGTTTTTGAGGCCTCTATAATTAGCGTTCGTTAGCTACCTCGCCTATAGGTTGAGAGCTAGGCTTTTGATGACTTACTAATCCCTTGGGATTCCTGACTGATGCTTTCAATCTTGTAGTCTGTTGTGTCCATATCTTGTTGGAGCAGCCTGGCATGAGGTACTACCGCACTCTTCGTAAATCTTATGCTTTTGTCGCATTTTTGAGTATCCTTGACGGTAGTATTATTGAGCCTTGTATTGGTCGCTGTTTGAGATTCAAACCTCCCAGAAGTCAAAAGAGTTTTAAGAACACGGACAGTCCTGCGAAATCCATAACCCTGGAGTAGAGCTTTCCGTTTAGGCCAGTGCTGAAGAGCTACTCGACGGATATGTTTCGCTTTTCGCAAGCGAGCGTTTTTGCCTGTAAAAACAGTGCGATAAGCGAAAAATATGCGCCGGGACTCTTCTTCGGAGGACATAAGGTATCAACGGAAAGACGCCCGTTCGTGAGCGTAGGTCACCAACGATTAACATACGGAATCATGATGAGGCTGAGGATAGCGTGAGAATGTAACTAATGTGAAGATAAGCTCACATTCTTATGTTTAGCCGGTGCGTGTTATGTAGCAGGCCAGCACCAGGTCTGTGCTTCTAGTTCACCAATGATATGAGTACTGGAGCCGCCGCTCAGACGTGGCCTCTCTCCGCCCCCACTCATTCCGATCACCGACGTCGCCTTCGCGCAGCTTAGCTCTCCTTCCCGCAGCTTCAGCCTATAGACATGGCACTTCGCTCCGATAGATTTGTAACATGGGTAAAGGCGCCATATATAAGGCATGGTGGAGCTTTAGCTGTAGAAACTACCGCAGTAGTACGAGCGTAGCTGCGCCAGTAGGGAGATGTTGTGGAGACGACGGCGGGGTGCTTGGAAGCATCCGTCGCCGCGTTGGGCTAAATACCGCGTCTCGGTCGAGACGTATTCCGAGCTGCTACGGCGCATTGGTGACGATCGCGACAAGCCCTTCAAAGGCTGGTTTAACGACAAGGCTCGCTACGATTACAGCAGCGCCAACAAGGAGCTCATTCTTCGCATGGCCGCTACACCTCTCCATAACTGCTTATACGCCTTTATTGTGAAGCGGACCGATGATAAGCTAGCTAAGCTGAGGGCTCAACATCTTATAGAGCTAGGCTCCGCTCTCAAAGGCGTGCGTCCTTGCAGCATCCGTTTCGATGCCTCCGACACCGACACCGACGAGCTAAACCTCGACGCCGACCCGTTCACGTCACCCTCCATCATGCCGCCCTTTCGTCCAGACTAAAAGGCACCAGATAACCAATTCCAGCACCGCAAGGCACGCTGGCCTTCCATCGTCTTCGAGGTCGCGTATAGCTAGAAGGCTAAGGACCTACCCCTTATCGCCGACGACTATATACACGAATCGCGTGGTAACATCAGCGCAGTCATCTGCTTGAAACTCGAGTACACGCCTCCTACCAGGCTACAAGCAATACCACGCGCCATAAAGGCGCCAACGCCTCCGCCTCCGCTATCAAAGCAAGCGCGAGTCACTGTCTGGCACCTTCAGAAATTCATTGAGCTTTTCCAAGGCAAGCAGGTGACCTACAAGGAAGTCACTACAGTAACGGACCAAGTACGCTTCCCCTCCCCAAACCCTTTCTTTTACGTTTCTATATCAACCCTTTCCGCGTATATTTTCCATACTAACAAATCCCTACAGGTTTTCCGCGGCGTCACCTGCCAGTATATACAACACACACGAACCATCAGAAGGGAACGTAGCAACTAGCGCTCC